CACCCATCCATCCATCCATACACCCATCCATCCATCCATCCATCCAGCCAGCCAGCCAGCCAGCCATTCCTCCATCCATCCTTTTATTCATTTGTTCAATCATTTATAAGTTACAGCACAGGATGAGAGAAAGAATAACATGCACATTCATATAGTCAGCTTTTAGGGATTCCAACCCACCAAACGTCACCTATATATTTTATAACTAATGAACAATATCACATTAATAATTACCAACATGTTATTTTACTTTTAGTAATCTTTCCAACTTTGCAGATATCAAATAGTAGCAAGTAATCCACAAGACCGAAGCCTGTTTCGTAAGCTGGACACTCATTATGTGGTATTTGACGAGGGTCACATGTTGAAGAATATGAAGTCGCAGCGATATCAGAAGCTGTTCAACCTCCGGGTAAATGCTATTTCTCTTCTTTGTTCTTTAATGCTTTGTAGTGGGTGTCCTTGGTTTTGAAACATGTTATATAATTCATATATCGTTGTCATTACTTAGTCATTATTATCACCATTCTCATCATCCCTATCATCCAATATTCACCATTAGTCATTGTCACCATCATTTATCATTACCCATTATCAATCATTATGACCACCATCTTACATGTCATCATCACTGTTGTCATCAGTAATCATCATCATTATTACAGTATTAGCATGGCCATCATCATCATGCAGTCATCATGCACCACCATCATTTATCTTCATCTTCACTTATAATCTCATCATTAGTCATCAATAATCATCAACATCACCATCATGATTCATCTGCCATCATCAATCATCATCACTGTCATTTAACATCATCCTTGCAAATCTCATCAACTGCCATCATCATCATTGATATTGGTAAATATTATTTTTATATCAGGCCAGGCGCCGTCTTCTCCTCACTGGTACCCCACTTCAAAACAACCTTCTAGAGCTTATGTCACTGCTTAGTTTTGTCATGCCTCACATGTTCGATGAGAGTTCTGAAGGACTAAGAATGTTATTTTCTGACAAACGAGTAAGTTTTGAGTGTATCCTCTGCTTATTCTTTCTTAACCTTCATTCTGTTGTTGCCATTCATCCAGTATTCCATCATCTTTTTCACCCTTTCATCCCTCTTCCTCTTCCTCTTTCTTCCTCTTTCTTCCTCTTTCTTCCTCTTCTTCCTTCCTTCCTTCCTTCCTTCCTTCCTTCCTTCCTTCCTTCCTTTCTTAGCCATTTTCATTCATTCACTCTTTTTTCCTTAGAACGAAGAGTCTAGTGTTACATATGAGAAAGAGATACTAGAACAAGCCAAGAGAATTATGAAACCCTTTGTTCTAAGGCGCTTAAAAAGAGATGTAAGTACAAATTTTCACAACATAAAGATATGCATGGCATATACATTCGAATTTGTACAACCCAGCTGTGTCCCTTGATTAGATACAGACTCATTTACTCAGGGTAAGCATCATTTCAGATTCTAAATATTTTCTATTGTAGGTTCTTCAACAGCTTCCTCAAAAACATGAGGAGATAATCATGTGTGATTTGACAGATCAACAACGTATTCTTTATGACAAAGTGTTTCTGGAGTGTTATCAAAAATACCAGCAATCTGGTGGGTAGTTGTATTGAAGCTATTCAAGTTGTAGTAATATGTCAATCTCTTCATCCATTTATCCTTATCCATCCATCAATCCGTCCATCAAATTGTCCATTTCAGTGATCCATCCATGCATGCATCCATGCATCCATCCATCCATCCATGCATCCATCCATCCATCCATGCATCCATCCATCCATCCATGCATGCATCCATCCATCCATCCATCCATCCATGCATCCCTGCATCCATTCATCCATGCATCCATCCATCCATCCATCCATCTTGTCTGTCCTCTTACCCCATTCTTCCATACCTCTCATCCACTTATCCCTCCCATCCATCTATCCATTCATTCATCTATCCATCTAATCCAATCAATCCATCCATCCATTATCTACTGATCCATTTATTACAATTTTTACCCCATTCATCCATACCTCTCATCCACCCATTCATCTATCCCTCCCATCCATTTATTCATCCATCCATTATCCATTCATCCATCCATCCACCACATCCATCAGTCCATCTTTTTCATTCATCCATCTCATTCATCCCCTCCCTCCATCTATCACATCCAGTCATCTACCATCTACTTTTCAACCTTGTCCATTTATCCATCCATCCATCCATTCATCCCTTTCATCCATCCATCCCTTTCATCCATCCATCCATTATCCATCCACCTATCCTTTAATTTATTTGCTTAATCATCTGTTTATCATAGGTGTTCTCAGTCAGAACGGCAAGAACACAAACCTCATGATGCCTCTACGCATGACTTCTAACCATCCGTTGTTGCTAAGAAACTATTACACCAATGAGAAACTCCGAGAGATGGCTACTCAATACTGCAGGGTAATGAACCACAGGGATCCCAAATCTTCTGTCTATTGGCCTTTCCTCGGTTGCGCGGAAAACGAGTAACGAGTAGGACACGCTCTGAATAATGGGGCTTTTTTAGAAGACGCCATTTTTTTCAATATGGTGGAAAGCTTAGTAACGTCTCTTGTAAAACAAACCACAAAGTAAATGTGACTCTATTCAAAAGCAAAAAACCCGTAAAACAGGGCTCTCTTTAAACTAGCTCTGCTAAACCCCTCTGCTAAAATTGTTGAAATAAATAAAGAAATATAGACGAAAAAGACAAACGAGCCTCCCCTGAAACAGTCCCAAGATTCAGCGCGCGTTTTACTCGTTACCAGTTTTCCGCGTAACTACGGAAAAGTCAATATGTGGTGCACTTTCTAACTGTTTTTTTTTTTCTCTAGGACTTAGCACATCGGGATTGTGATCCTGATCTTGTTTACGAAGATATGACCGTCATGTCGGACTTCGAAATCGATAGACTTTGTAAGCAGGAGTATGTAAGTAGACATCCTCTCTTTATCCCTTCCCCCGCATGGGAATCATTTGGTATATTCTTGCTGATGTTATCTGCAGGTGCTGTATTGCACCCAAGCAAGTCCAGAATGCACCATTTTGTATATTAGAAAGGCACACACACCAAATCACGTGACCAAACTTGTACGGCACGGAGAATTAGCAATAATTATGCATTTCGTGGTATGTTTGCTAATTGATGTCACCAACCACGTGATCTATACTAGTCACGTGATCTATCGTGACCACGTGATCTGTCGTGACCATGTGACCTAGTGCTGCTCACGTGACATGTCACACTCACCTATGGTTGTTTTATTGTCTTCTTAGAAACTGATACCGCATATTTTGGATCAAGAAATTTTGTTGGATTCTGGGAAATTCAATGCTTTGGATTCAGTCTTACCGACCATGAAAGAACAGGTAGTTAAAAAATATACTGTTTAATTGTATGCCTTGTCTTCTTGCTGGTCTGTCTATCCGTCTGTCTCCTTTGTCTGCCTGCCTATCAGTCTGTCTGTCTGTCCGTCCGTCTTGTTTGTGTGTCTGTATGCCTGTCTTGTTTGTCTGTCTGCCTATCAGTCTGTCTTCTTTGTCTGTCTGCCTATCAGTCTGTCTTTTGTTAGGTAATGCATTCATCTTGTACTTCATTGTGTCTACTGTCTATGTCATGCTGTAACACGATATAACAGATCTTTCTCTCTCCGTGGTACAGGGTGATCGGGTGCTGCTGTTCTCTCAGTTTACCCTGGTCATGGACGTCATAGAAGTCTACTTGAAGCGTAAAAACTTCAGCTTTCTTAGATTGGACGGCTCTACTAAAGTAGCTGATAGGTAAATGCTCTTATGCGAGATACCCTTAAAAATAATCATCATGATAGTAGTGGTGATGATATTTTGGCGATAATGATGGTGGTGGTGATGATGATGATGATAATGACGGTGGCGGATATGATGATGATGAGGATGTTGATGATGATGTAGATGACGATGGCGGTGACGGATATGATGATGATGGTGATGAGGATGATGATGATGATGGTAATGATGATAATAATGATGGCGGTGGCGGATGTGATGATGATGGTGGTGATGATGATGATGATGACGGTGGCGGATGTGATGATGATGGTAATGAGGATGATGATGATGTAGACAATGATGGTAATGATGATGGCGATGGCGGATATAATGATGGTGGTGATGATGATGATGATGACGGTGGCGGATGCGATGATAGTGATGAGGATGATGATGGTGTAGATAATAATGGTGATGATGGCGGCGGTAGCGGATATGATGGTGAGGATGATGATGATGATGAAGATGGTAATGATAATGGCGGTGGCGGATGTGATGATGATGGTAATGAGGAGGAGGAGGAGGATGATGATGTATATAATGATAATAATGTGATGATGATTGTAATGGTGGTGGTGGTGGTGGTGGTGATCATGATCATGGAAATAATTATAATTATGATAATTGGGGTTGGTATTGAACAGTAAGAATGAACAATAACAATGCCTTTTCTTTCTTTCCAAAACAGGCAAAACCTGATTGACAAGTTCAACAGTGAACCAGACATTTTCATTTTCTTACTGTCAACAAGAGCAGGTATGATGCGTGAAGCATATGGACACTCGGGTGCGAATTTAGCATTTAAATTTGGAAAAATCCCCCCAAAACAAATATCAATCTTACATTCTAGCTTTTCCCCACATTTCTATATTTTTGAGGAACTCCTGGATAGGAACGGGATGTACCCCCACCCCCCCTCCCCCCAGTGACCACCCCCAACTGGGGCTCCACCACGTGACCTCCCCCTCCCAAACTGGGTCTGTATCACGTGGCTTCATTAGTAACATCGATGCTATCTGTTCATTCAAGGTGGTCTTGGTATTAATCTAACATCAGCAAATGTAGTCATATTAAACGACATTGACTTCAACCCGTATAATGACAAACAAGCAGAGGATAGATGCCATCGTGTTGGACAAACAAGGTATTTAAGTCTGATTAACCACAGGATGCCCAGTATAGATAAAATAATAATCAGTAGTAATAATAAATATTAGTTTATTTTTACTTCCCTTAAGTCCAAGGAATGGACCCTGGAGTTTAGAAATTTTGTAAACAAACAAACAAAAAAACAAAAAAATAAATGATAATAAAAGGATCTGATTGTTCTCGGTCTCACCAAACGTTCTCTATTGAAATTCCAGTTTCAATAATTACTTAAAATATACATACGCCATGCATGGGTTCCAGAGAGAAGAGAGCCTCTGGAAGCTAGCCAGAGTATAACAAAAATCTAACCAAATAATCACATAACGTTTTCTTGCCAGAGATGTTCGTGTGTATAAGCTGATATCGAGGAACACAATCGAAGAAGCCATGTTAAAGTGCGCGAAGAGTAAACTAAAGCTAGAGAAAGATGTTGTATCGACGGACGACGATGGTAAGAACAGAACTGACAACATCTTTTGCGTCTTAGTAACGATAATCTATTCTTAACGGATTTCTCGTCATTTGATTTTTTATCCTTTCTCTTTTATCGACTAACGAGGAATTTTGCAAAATTGGTTTGCCTGTGACGTCATGACCGCCATCTTGGTTTAACGTAAAAAAAATTATCGGTTATCATTCTATGTTGCCTTTTTCACTTACTAATAAATATGCCTGTCTAGTGCATGACCTAATTGTCGCTTTGGTTTAATATAACAAAACTTAGTAATTGTTTTATTATTAACTTTTCATTAATAGTAAATTTGCTGTTTTTTGCTATCACGTGACGTCATGGCAGCCATCTTGGTTTTGGTAGTATAAAAACTTTTTGATGTTTTTCTCTCTCTTTTTTCTCATCAGAAGAAGATATTGCGTTCATTCTTGGACAGACTTTTACGAATGCAGAAAGTTCGTGATAGGATCAACAGTCGTCCTCGAGAAGGAAGTGGTAGTAATGTTAGACAATTAGACTTGAGTTTGCACTGAGTGGGAAACAGAATACTATGACTTTTAAATAGCTTCCCCTCTAAACCAATAACAATGCGCAAAAAAAGGCAACAACCAATCACAGTGTGCCATAATGGAAGCCTTTTGAATGCCTAACTGTTCGTATTTAAACCAATCATACACGACTATATCTGCAGACGTTTGTAAAAATACGAGTTGTGAAAGACCTAAAGAAAAAAGTAATATTCTAGTCTCTACTAACATCCACTTTAAAAGGAATTCATCAATCTCCACATAGCAGCCAAAAAAGACGGGATATTTACATAATATTTATATTGGCAATTGCCTTAAGATTAAATGTAATTTTTTTGTGTTTATCATAACGTTTTTTGTATCCTTTGCGCGATAAAAAGGCAAAGACCCGGAAGTTCAACCTCGTTCCCTCGTTCCTCTCCATCCATTCTCATGGCACTGGGAACAAGATGGAATGCAATGAGGTATCAGCCAATCTCGTACCCAGAGCTAGTACACCGGCGTCTTCCTGTTGACCAAAATTTCAGAGCACTCTCTGGGCACGTGATTGAGTATCAGCCGCCATTTTGGATTCACAATCCAGCTATAATGGACTACGTTTTGTACAAAGAAAAGATCCCAGACTTAAGCATTAATTCCAGCTATGTATGTTTTCGCCGATAGTAAGGCTGCATTTTCTACAATTTTTTTTTTTTGAAAAATAGTTTATAGCAACAAAGATGGGGAGATGTGACATCATCAATTCAAAATGGCGGCTATTAGAGTGTAAATATTGAAGCAAGTGATCGATGAGCGCAAATATTCGATTTAATGAAGTATTAATAATATTAAGTAATGAATGACTTCAATAATAATGTAATTTTGAATAAAAATGTATTAGTTTGTTTTTGTAATTCAGAAAGTATTTGTAAACCAAAATAAAGTAAAACCTCCAAATGATTTGAAATTTGTACTTATTTATTGCACTTGCTGCAATCAAAAACAACCAAAACATTCATGAAAAGGTTCTATGCTCGATGAGAAAGCATATGCTTAACAAATAAACAAACAAAACAGAAAAGTATGTCAATCTTTAAAAAAAAAATTCAAAAAACTTTAAGATTTAACCTCACAAAGGCACACATTTAATATATTTTTTACATACATTTAACATACGTATTTAATTCAATTCTTTCAATTTCTGTCACAATACTTGTCCTTCAAGTTCTTGTTCCTTATATAACGCTGCAAGTGCTTCTTTGTACGATTCTTGCTGTTGTTTTTCCAAACCCGTACTCGCATGAAAGTTTTCTGTTAGCATCGATAAATCCGGCTCGCAAGGGAGGCTCGATGATCGCTCAATGGAGCTGAATGCCATAGAAGGAAACGCAAAATGTGGCCCAGATAGGCTTAAATTACTCTTGAGTTTAGTTACCTCCGAATGTCGTCGTCTTGTTCGTCGAATTCTTTCTTTTATCAATGAGACATCTAGTACATTGGCTTTCGCTGGAGGGAAAAAGATTTGAAATTGGGAAGTTATCAAAATAAAAAAATCCTTTTGACTGCAAAATCACTTGCAGTAAAAAAAAAGGTATGTGTCGCGGTTCTACGCCTAAGATTAAGCGCACGCATTCTTACGAAAAGAAGGTCAATTTTGTACCCAGAACCTGCGTTAATCTGGCCTGCGGAGAAGACGAGGCAAGGTTCTGGGTACGAGATTGTAAAAAAGACAGTTAGATGAAACACCAGATTTTTAATAGAAACGATATTTTTACAGGATTACTTTTTCCTTTTAACTAATTAAGGACCATACTTCCAGACATCGAGTGCTGAACCGTCGTATGGCAGCGCGAAGCATTTACGGCTACGCCGGAGATTTCGACCACGACACCGCTATCCGAGAACTTACAGACAGATCAGGAAGCTCGGTCGAAACCTAAGGGAGAGGTTAGTCGGCCCCTAGACCGTAGATGATTAACCTCATGTTATGACCAGCAGAAGTTTTTGTCGCTGCTGAATTTGTATCAATGGTCACTCCTTTCCATGTGGGACGCGTTTTGAAAATTTTTTTTTTAGCCGAAGCTGGACCGTTAATAAAAATTCAGACATGCGCATACTTTAGCTAGCAAGCATCTTGCGCCAGTAAAGTTGGCCCAAAGATAAAACCGGTAAAAAAATAAGCATCGAGACAGTTTGATCTACTTACGTGGGGAATCAAAGGAACTAGATTTTTCATTTTGGTTCTCGTTCTCATTAATCCAATGTACCGACTTTTTTCTTGCTTTTTCGACTAGTTTTGTCCCCGAAGCTGCAAGCTGTTTTGATATAAGATGCCTAAGTCAACAAACATAAACACAGAAGAATATTTCAGAGTTATGTTTGTATGAAAAAATCGGGTGGGGAAGGAACAACAAAACACAAGAAGAAAATGATAACAAAAAACGCAAAACAGAAAAACGAACAAAAAAAATTACACGCGATAAACCAAATAATATTAACCAGAGTTAAAATTATTCAATTATTTGATCTTTTCTTACCTTTTTTCCTCCATGTTTATCAGTAAAAACACATCTAAAATCTCTTTTGATCTAGTATCAACTTAAATTGGGGAAACCTGCTTTCAGAAAAGTATCTATGATGTCATCCGCGTTACGTTTGGCGCCATTTTTGCGCGCGCTTATTTTGACGACTGGCAATTTTTTTCGTTATCTTAGTATCAAACTTGCAATTTTCTATGGTAACGATTTCGAATGGAGAGAAGCAATAAAACTAGAAGTGTCGGAAATGAGGTGTATATGTTGTATTTTGATGGTCAAGAAGGAAAAAAGGGGAAGATGAAGAAGTAGATGCCGAAAACAGAGTTAATAGAGGGGAACTGGTTTCAGTCCCCTATATTAACTCTGCCGAAAAGGAGAAAGAAAAATACTTCAATGTCACTAAAATTTTTAAAAAATATTATATGTAAATCTGACCTGAGTGCTACTGAGCAAAGAATGTGTCTTTTTTAGTTCGACTAAATCTTTTCGGTTCCGAATCGTTGGCAAAATGATCTAGTTCTTGCTATGATAATTATTTCAAATACGATCATAATTTCAGCGTTACAGTGCGAATACTTCGTTCAATATATTAACTTATGTTTTGAAATTTGCCCCGCCACTAAGGCAGAGCAGCAAAAAATTAGTCTATAGACTCATTGAGTTGTTCCCCTCCACGGAAATCTTTAGTAAAAGGCGAAAGATTTATGCGATCTGAAGGGAAACCAGAGTGATGGAATGATATGCGAAGAAAAGATGGGTATCGACCTGACTCTCTCTTACATGTGGGATGCAGTCTCAAAGATAATTTAACTTTTAGTTCTCGAAAAAATACTCCTATGAAGTAATCTAAGAAAGTTTCGTTCAAACTATTTTTAAACCGTTTGATTTTATGACTTTTTTAACGAAAGAAAATATCTTGCAAAAATTGCGCATGCGCAGTGTAAATATAAATAAAAATTTGAGTTTCCTAAAAAATTCGTTACAAACTTAAAGAATGGATTCAAGGATATGATGAGAAAAGTAAGGAGGGAAGGAAAAAAAGAAAAAGAAAAAGAGAAAAGAAAGGGGATTAAAAAATTATATAAATAAATTTAAGAGGGGATGTCAGCAAAAATCGAACAATTTTGAAATTTCGTGGCAACGGTCGAAAAATCGATTTCGCTCATATTCTAACCTTAGGTAGACCTTATTCTAACTAGAACCACTATGTAGTTTGTTTTTAAAAATATCGCTTATTTTACGAGAAAATTGATTTTTGCGGATTTCA